AATTATATAATTGCTCGCACGTTTTCTGCAGAGTTGAAGGCAACAGACTTCCTCTGGATCAACCATATACCGGACCGCATAAAGTACTAGAGCGCATCTCGGACCAAGTCTTCGCCATTGAAATCGACGGCAAATCCATCAATGTCACGGTCGACAGACTTAAGCCCGCGTACGTACTAATCCAAGGCTCGGAAACTCTTCCGTCCACTGCATCTTCGTCTTCAACTGACATTCCAATGCAAGGTGAACCAAAGACATATCCTAGTCCAGCAGCAAAGCGAAAGACTGTTAGATTTAAGATGTAATTCGCGCAATATTACGCTAAGCAAACCAATATGTACAACTTTTGTTTGTTTCATCTATTCTTATGTTTGTTATTCTCATTCTAGCGATATCTTAGCCAGTATTTCTTTCTTTAACGTTTTCACTAGGAGGGGAGTACTGTGGCGCTGCGAACGTTAGTGGTGGCGCTGCATGCGTCCGTCGCGACGCTGATACGGTCGTTCTTTCCATGGCTCGCCCCATTCTCTCTCTGGTGTCATGGCGTGCCGCGTGCAGACCTCGTGTAAGTCTCTGCGATAGTCAGTAAGTTAGAACTCGGAAGTTAAGGTTCCGAATTGCTTTGTATATTCCGCGAGACCGTTACCGATTACTATTCATGTCTGTGGTAATTGTTAGCGTCGTCCGATAAATTCTTAGAGTGGATTTTCATAGTTCTAGCATTGTAACTCCGCGACATGATGCCGGTATCCGAGCCGTCTTACACGCGCAATCACGTCTCTACTTATTAATCAACATTTGTATTTAGTATTTAGTTAGTTAGGCATTAAGTGTGTATTAAACCGCCTCATGGCATAAAATCAGAAGCAGTGCGTAGCCCTCATTCCCAACCTACCTTTTTCCCGCCATACGTCCTTCGCCGTGGTTGGTAACCACCGGCGCCATATTGCGTAGCACGTGATCCAATAACCACACAGCACTTACTGCTGGAACCATCTGTTGATAAACAGCGAGAACTTAGTTGCGCACCTAATATTAGAGCGCATTTCGGACAAAGTTGCTAGAAATCGACGGCAAACATATCAACGTCACTGTCGATAGACTTAAGCCCACTTATTTAATAAATAAAAGACTTAGAAACTACTCCGTCCCTGTCTTCAACTAACATTCCAGTACAATGTGAATCAAAGACATATCCTGGTCCAGCAACCAAGCGAAAAACTGTTAGATTTAAGGATTAATTCGCGCAATATTACATTAAGCGATCAACAAGCATAAGTTTCTGTTTGTTTCATTTAATTTTATTTTCTGTTATTTTCGTTCTAGCGATAATTTAATCAGTATTTCTTTCCTTAACGTTTACACTGGAAGGGGAGTACTGTGGCATTGCGAGTGTTAGTTCTTCTTCCCGACTTTCCTTTCTTTCCCTCTCTCTGATATCATGGCGTTCTGCGTGCGGACTTCGTGGAAGCCTCTGCGATAGTTAATAGATTAAGATTCAGTAAGATTAAGAATCACCTTGTGTTCACTGCGAGATCGACATCGATTACTGCTCAAGTCATTCGGTAATTGTTAGCGTCGTCAGATAAATACTCATAGTATATATTTTCTTAGTTTCCCGTATTCTAACCTAGCAACGCGATACCAATTTCCGAGCCGCAATCACGTCGCTATTTTTGTAATCTATATTTTATTGATAATATTGACTGTGATATTGACTGTGTAGCAACGCGAAGCCATTATAATATTACAATGTGACAGCCTGGCCAATGAAATGTAAGGTTTTATGAAGATGCAAATGGCCGCCCATGTGGGCACGAATCTAGCTTCTTCTAACAACACAAAATGGCCGCTCTTGTGAACGAGAGTGATGAATGACAATATGGTGGCTCCTGTGAGCGAAAGCGATGCACGATAATATGGCGGCTCTTGTGAGCGAAAGTAATGAACGACAATATGGCGGCTCTTGTGAACGAAAGCAAAGACCTCCTTATGCCGATGTCTATTTGAATAAGATGCGTCTAATGCGTTCTTATGAATATAAAAAACTTTCTTACCTCGCAATGTATATGCCTGAGATAAAGCTTATGAGTACTTGTCGTGTGCGACTTATACGCTTGCACGTGGCCTCAGAATAAAGAAATGTGTATGCGATACCTGTGTATCCGGCTCGAAGGACCAATGTTATAGCAAAAGGACCTTGATGTCCTTGTTGCGCTATGTACAGCGCTATTTTCTTTTCGTCAGAGAACTTGTATCTCGTGCCTTGTGACCTGTCGATCCGTGTTGCTTGCCTTGTGGCTACACCCGAAGTAATTCGGCAGTGCGTAATAAAAGAGGCAATTTACCTTATGCGAAAATGCTTTAATGTCTCTCGTGTTTTACACTCGCGTCGTATATTATAAAGATAAAAAGGAAAACGGTTGCGCACCGTCATGCACGTGCTCACGGTAAGAAAGTCGCACACACAAGCTTCGAGAAAACCTGTGAGAAGCGCGACAGTTTACATGCAGGCAGCATAGTCGCGCGCATGCCCTCCCCTTCGATGGGCCCCATCAGCAATACGGCACGTCGCTAACACGCCGCAAAGCCAACGGGCTGGTATCAAGCTGAGCCACACAACACTGATAAGCACCAACAGACATTGATAGTTTAAATGTTTCTAATAATAGTTACGCAATGACATTTTGCTATTTAAAACTCATGAAATGTAAAAATTTAATTTAAAAAAAAGATTTAGATGAAAACTGCATTAGGGCAGTAATAGTGAAAGTTTAATGCGGTTCAATGGAACATTGGGTTATCTAAAAAGTATCCGCGGTACTTTGTCACTAGATATATGACCATCAACACACATCTAGTGACAAAAAACTGCGGATACTTTTTAGATGACCCAATGTTCCATTGAACCGCATTAAACTTTCACTATTACCGCCCTAATGCAGTTTTCATCTAAATCTAGCATGGCTAGTGCTGCACCAGTTTTCGCAGTGGAAAACGCTATTGACAAATTTAACTTTACTTCTTGTCGAGTATCAGCCCCTTAAAGGTGCCTTTTCATGCATCACCAAATCGTTCGAAATTTAGTGACGAAACTCATCGATCGCTGTTTTTTGCCATCATGAAAATGGAATGCGCGATAAAAAGTAGCGATTACAGACATTACGATTGATGACTTTCGTTACAATTTTTTTTGCTCCAAATTATAATGTCCTTTACTGCCAAGTATAGTGAATGGTATAGTCGCAGTGTTAAATATATACAGAAATACTATGACTGACAAAAGAAATGTTTAGAAATTATGAAAAAACAAGAAAAGATTTGGAAGAAACAACTGTTTAATGCAGCATTTGTTGCAATTATGTCTGTAGATAGAATAACATATCAAAAAAAAGATTTTGGAGGACTCCTGTTTGTGCAGAACGGGAATTGCATAGTTTGATCAAATAAATTCATTTTTATAAAATAAATTCAAATTGTAGCTATTATCGCCTATTGTCGCTACAATTTTAATCAAATCGAACTACAGAAGTAATAACTTTCAAGCGACTGATGAAGGCTGTGGTCAAAGTCTAGCTACAAATGCTTTGAAGTATTTGATGCAATTAGAAGAAAGAATTTTACAAACTGACCAATTAAAAAACGCTTCAAAACGTTTGCAGCATCGCGTTGACCATATCCGAAGTCACGTGACTTTTCGATCGCTACAAAAATTGCGACAATCGCCGCCATGAAAAGGTACCTTAATTCTTTCTGGTGAATATGAATGCGTAGAATGAGTTTTTCTTAAGATTTTAGGGGAGGAGAGGTATTCTAAATAATTACCCAGAGAATTTGTGTTTTTAAAGCAGAAAAATTGTGTTTATAAAACAGAATACCTAACCCTCTCCTGTCGTCGATGTGATAGATTTCCTAACCTAACAATAGTTAACTTTTAACGATATTATATCTCTTCGTAGGACAGAATAACTTTTTGCCAGATTTGTTCATTTCGTGCAAAAACGCGTCGAATAAGCCTAATTTTATTGACTTTTGAAGTGCTTTATCTGTATAAATATTCAAAAATTAATGGATTAATCTAACAGAGACAGATGTTTAGTCTGGTCTAATCATCGGCTTTCAAGTGCACGTGTAAAGAAATGGCAGATTACAATGAGAAATGTTGGGATTGTTCATTCGATTATGGTGAAGACAAGCAAAAGGGTGTTTGTTTAATAAAAGAAGAGTAAGTTGCCGGATGGCTTACATTAATCTTATAAAGAATGAATCTTATACGAACATATATTTACAAGCGCGCGTATTCGTCTAACCTCTAAATAGTTCAGACAGATTATCAATCGCCTGTTTTTGTCTCTTAATTTAAATTTTTATTTATATTGATAATTGTAATTATTTATAGTAAGATATTGAAGGACTTAATCTTTTCTCAATTTTTATTTAAAAATTAATATTTTATCAAAATATAATAAATGAGATTCTTTATATGATAGAATATAGAATCTATTGTATTACTTCCAATATTCTATTGCTATATACTACGCATCTTTTACTTTCTATTTAATAAATTTCTATATGTATCTAGTAACCTATTCACAGAAAAGAAAGATTTCTTATCCTTACATATCACAAAAATATCACAGAACATAATCATAGCAATATTCTGCTATTGCTGCCTTAATTCACTGCTGTCTAATTACATTAATTAATGCCAATCTCTTTCCTTAGATTCTGTATTTTTTTCTAATCTCCTCTTTCCTTTCTTTTTTCTGAAAACCTTCTTAGAACCTCATATTTTTCCAAATCCAGTTTTTTGTTCTAAAGTCTACTTTATATTTCCATTCTATCCCTGTCTAATATCCTGAATCAGCTGTTTATTTGCTAACATTCGTCAACATAACGTTTCATGTGATTTGTACCTACTCTACAAAATATACATCTCCTTCTCTCCTCACTTGGCCAATACTTATTTCCTTTTTTTATATTTCCACATATAAGTTTCATTAATCCCTTTCTCTCTCTCTCTCTCTCTCACTCTCTCACTCTCTCTGTCCTATTCCTACATTATTCAAATTTTCTTTCCTTAAATATTTGTAGCTTCTATTCTTTTCTATCAAATTCCTTGTACCTGTTATTGTATATGTCTAACTGTGCTTAACTCGCTACCTTTCCATTGTCTTTGTATATACCTTTCCCTTTTAATTATTTTTTTCTTCCAAATTCAAATAAGATTCCATCTTTAATTCTATATATTAAATATATTAAATATATGACAATGATAACTATTAATGATAATTTATGACAATGATAATTTTCTATGAAAATTATTTGAAATACTGTTCGTCAATAAATTTTTGCACATAAGTACTAATGCATCTAAAGAATAGTTGTATATTATATTTTTGTTATTATTTATTAAGTATTATTATTTTAAAAAAAATTAATACATGTATCTAATATTATAGATTTATTATTGAGGACCATGTAAGACAATTGAGTGATCAGTGCTTGACAAAGATCGATAAGCAGAAAGTATCTACTGATGCAGATGTAGAAGATACAGATGCATCATGGGACCAAGTACCTGCTAAGAAAGCGAAATTGGAAGACAAGAGAGAGAAACTCAGAGGACAAAATAAAGCAAGGCCACCTCCATTCAAAGTTTCCAAGGAATTGAGTCTATGTCCATGGATCGCGGATCAAACTGCAAATGAATCAGAGAGAAAATGCTCGAATCAGCGCTGTACTTTCCTACATGATCGAAAGGAGTATCTGAAGATCAGGCCAGAAGACATAGGTACAGAATGCTATATTTTTAATTTGACTGGTAAGTGCCCGAGAGGAACCACTTGTAGAATGGGCTCAGGACACTTGACTGAAGATGGTTTCAATGTTATTGACAAAAAGAAACTCGAAGAATACAGCAAATGTCCACCAGCTGTCAAAAATCACTTATCCAAGGACTTGCAAAACAAATTGCGCAAGCACAAGTATAATTTCTCCAGGGCAGAGGCAATTGTCAAAGCCAACGGTCCATCTATGAAAAAAACGCAATTGCAGAGTTTGAATAGTAAAGGAGAAGATAAAAATGATACAAAATCAGATGTCACAATTAATATTTCTGACAATAGCAATAGCGAGAAAGTGGCGAAACATATTTCTGATAACGCAAATGTCGAGAAAATGGAAACAGACGCTTCTAATTACAGTATCACGTGTAAATCAAAGGAATTGAAAATCGGACCCGTGGACGACAGCGATTTGATCCGATTGCGACAATCAGAGAAAAAGACGATCGATTGGAACGGCAAGATACTACTCAGTCCTCTAACTACGGTAGGCAATCTGCCGTTTCGAAGGATTTGTAAGGAGTATGGTGCGGATATAACTTGCGGCGAGATGGCATTGGCGCCGAATATACTGAAAGGCACGCAGGAGGAATGGGCGTTAGTGAAGCGACACGAGAGCGAGGATATCTTCGGCGTACAGCTTTGTGGCAATAATCCGGGAGTGTTGGCACGATGTGCACAATTGTTAAACCATGAGATCGATGCGGACTACATAGATTTAAATCTTGGGTGTCCGATCGATATGATTTACAAAAACGGAGGCGGCAGCGGTATGCTCAATCGATTGAACGTACTCGAGACCGTGATAAAATCTGTTAGCCAGGTGTTGGACATACCCTTATCCGTTAAGACCAGAACTGGGGTCTATATAGATAAACCGATCGCACATAATCTAATGCCGAGATTTCGAGACTGGGGTGTGTCCATGATTACCGTGAGTAAGTCTGTTAAATTTATGTTTTTTTTGTTAATGAATCGGTCTCTTTTAAAAAACATTGTGGTTCCAAAGAATTGAATTTATCAAGAGAAAGGAAAGAATATTCTTCAAAATATCTTGATAAATTTAAAAATTCACAATAAGTTGAGATCGCTAAAAAAGAACTAAACACAATCTAAATATTGGTGTCTTAATAATATTTATATGTAAATTTTAAATACATTATACAGTTACATAAACTGCGTCAATTACTCTTGGACTTGAAATGCAATTATAAACTGAAGCAGAAATAATATCACGAATTAAATTGATCGTCAATGTAGTAACACTTATCAATGTAATAATAATAAACATCTTAATAAATAATTGCAAATAAAATATTGCAAAAAACTTATTGTGAAAAATATTAGTCAGAATTATAATACCACATTATGATTATTATTATTTAAAAATTTAGTTTTGCATATGCTACAGCTTTAAGTAACAGAAAATTCACGTTATGTTAATCATAGAAATATTAAAAAAAAAAAATTATTCCCGGGAAAAATAAAGAGATGTTAGTAAGATGTTTGTTACTTGCAAAAAACTGGATTTTTCAGATGATTCCTTTTTTATTTTTGAAAATCAAGAATTTTCATGGAATTTTATCAGTATTTAAGGAAATTTTTGGAACTTTATTTTTACATTTAAATTCTTCCGAAAAATATTATTTCTCTTTTTTTTTCTTGCAAAATGTAACAATCGGTTTGCAATGTACAGTCCGTGTATATTCACACATATATTTTCGTGTATCTTGTGAATTCTTATAGAAAAAAAATCGAGTAGAAAACAATATTCAGTAGAAGAGAATAGCTGATACTATATTGTAGTGAGCCTTCCCTATACTATTCTATAGGATGCAGCTTCAATTGTAGGAAAATGATAGATATAGTCTTGTGAAATCCGTCTACTAATTTACATTGTATAGTTTGTTCGCATTGTTTACACTCCAATTTATTCCAAAATTGTATTCAAAAATTCTTTAATCTTATCTAGAATTTTGAATAAAAATTCCTGAACAATTTGAGAGGAATTTCTTAAGGAATTTTTTTACAAGATTTTAGTAAACATCCTGCGTTGAGAGAAATATGATCTTCTGTATTATTGTATCTTTCTGTATTATTGTCTAAGACTCTTATTCAGTTTGATTCTTTTGTTCAATGATTCTTTCATTCAGGTTCATGGCAGATCGCGTGAGCAGAGATATACAAAGCTGGCCGATTGGGAGTATATAGAAAAATGTGCGATGGCAGCGCAGCCGATACCCGTATTCGGAAACGGCGATATCTTGTCCTTTGACGACTATCGTCGCGCGAAGGAGACCTACAGTACTGTGCAGGGCATCACTATTGGACGAGGAGCGCTAATCAAGCCTTGGATTTTTACCGAGATAAAGGAGAGAAAGTTGATCGATATATCGAGCGCGGAGAGATTTGACATTCTCAAGAAATATGCGAATTACGGGCTCGAGCACTGGGGATCTGACACCCGCGGTGTCGAAAATACCAGGAGATTCATGCTAGAATGGATCTCCTTCCTTCACAGGCAAGTTTATCTTGAGAAGAATGTGTTTCTCTCGATTAAAGCATTATATTATTCTTCAATATGGATTTACATTGAGTTATATTGCAGATATATTCCTGTTGGAATTTTGGAGAGACCACCACAGCGGATCAACGAGAGACCACCGTTTTACAGAGGTCGCGATGATATGGAAACGCTGATGGCTAGTTCCAACTGCGCCGATTGGGTGAAATTATCGTAAGACTATGCTTGATGCATTTATTGAGCAGCGTCAGTTTCGATTATATCGATTATATTAACGATTTTGTTTATTTTTAGTGAGATGTTACTTGGGAAAGTGCCTGATGGATTTCGTTTTTTACCAAAGCACAAGGCAAATTCGTGGAAATAATCTACTGCAGGAAGAATAGTTTTATAGAGAAATATTTCTTGAGGTGACTAATATAATATTTCTATTCTTCTACATTATTGATTATTCACAATAAACGCGACACATAAAAGAGAAGGATCATGGCAAAAAATTTGTTACATTCTTTCATTTGCGTTTATATATATATACATATATAATATAATGAATAAATATTTTTATGAAAGATACTATTAAGATTCATATCCAGAGTTTCACGATATATTTGCACTATCTAACAACACATTAACTTTGCTAACATACAACTTGACTAAATCAATAGTATTCATTTATCTCGCCAAAGTTAGTGACCGGCCACATGCAGTCACAACCACTGACGATTTCCTTTGTATATGGTTCCCAACATTCACTTGTCCAACGTCGTCTGACCAAATATAAAAGCCGACTTCTTTGCACGCACTGGAATGCCGGATAAACGCATTTCTGGAAAAACAAAATCTGTTAAATCTGAAGTCCAAACTTTGTTAAATAAAAAAAACGTTTTCTCATTTTTTCTAAACTAAACTTAAAATCAATTTAACGAAAATCTGACTTATCAGGTGTATCATTTCTTGGAAATTATCTTGCAACGCTAAATATTAATATTATTAATTTGCTTTTAGTTGACTCATATTTTTTGGTCAATAAAAACTGTCATTTTGAATCCATTTCATTGAATCTCTTCATCTATTTCATTGTATGACGTTTAAGTTTACTTGTTCCAATGGTTTCATTATTCGTTCGTCTTCGCTCAACATCAAATAGCCCTTACAGTAGACCTCATAATAATGTGAGGGTTGATACTCGTAATCGTCGTCGGAAAGCTCCACTTTTTTCGTTATTGTTTCGCAAAGATTGCGATATTTCTGCATAAATTGCAAAAGAAATAGACATTTATCTCAATAGTGATATGTACAAGATATTCAGTGTAACAATCCGCATGATTTTTCAGACACTTCTGACAACTAAAAAAAAGATTGAGCATTCATCACTTATATAGGCTACAACATGCGATAAAAAAATTGAAAAAAATTTTTTTCATAAGAAAATCAAAGTCATTTTAAATTTTTTAAATAGCTCCATACAATTTTTTTTCATAATATTGTAGGAATCTTCAAGACGAATTCAAATTCATTATCGAAATATCACTTTTATTGATGTTTTATTAATTTTATTGCATATTTTATTAAATAATTAGTACATTATATATATATATAATCTGTGTCTATATATGTGTATATATGTATAATCTGTATCTAATCAGAGGTTGTATTAAATATTGCTGTTACAAATAATATTACAAATTTGATATTAAGTATCAATAAAATCAATAAAACGTCAATAAAAGTGATATTTCGGTGATTTGAATTTGTCTTGAAGACTCCTATAATATTATAAAAAAAAATTATATGGTGCTATTTAAAAAATTCAAGATGACTGATTTTTTCTGAAAAAAAATTCTTTTTTAATTCCTTTCGCATGTTGTAGCCTGCATAAAACAGATGATTCATCTTTTAATTTTTTTTTTAACCGTCGGAATTATCTAAAAAATCATGCTGAACACTGTATAGTATAAATATATGAATATTAAATAATACAAATACAATTTAAATTAAGAATGAAACTTACAAAAAATAGATGAATTAAAAGAATTTGACAGGGATCACAGTTTATCACAATTGATTTAATTCCTTGTTTTAATAAAACTTCCTTTTTTTAAAATATTTTTAACGCTTTTTTTAATGGCGAAAATTTTATTGGAAACACTAGTGCGCACTGATTCATATTAAAGCCGTTGTACACTGATTTGAGTAGAAAAATGAAAAAAATGCAAATATTTCAAATTATGAAATACATATTTTACCTAATAATAAAATGTATTGAATGTATTTCATGATTTAATCGATTTCTGTGTTTATTTATATCTTTACGTTATTTCATGTACGACGGCTTTAATGTGTCAGAAGTGAGAAAATACACAATAACAATTTTTGCAAAATATATTAATATATAATAGAAAAATATATATTTCAGTAAAAAAACAACACAATCAATAGAACCAACTAGAAAATATATCGAAATCTTTTTGTTTCATTTATTAATAAATAACCATACATATTTAGAAATGAATTATGTATATTATGACGCATTATATATGTATATATAAAACCAAAAATGAAATAAGTTCTATTCATAACTATGACAAATTAATAATATAATTTTTGAAACAAGAAGACTGTTTCAGTATATTTTAAGAAGATTTTCGGTATATTTTATAAGTTTATTCTGATTGCACATGTTATTCAATTGAAAAATATTTCTATTTAGATATTATTTATAATTTACAAGAATTTTTATGTATTTTTTCACTTCTGGCGTCACATTCTGAAACGTGACGAGTAGTGGTGAATGAACTTTAGTGAGGAATGATCGTTTTCAGAAATAAAAAACAATTTACTAACATGCATCATATTTCTGCTATCTCTGTCCAGCTGCTGTAGTCCCCTTGCCGCAGTTTTCGTGTCATAATATTCCTCCAGTGAATAAGAGATATCTCTCATCACCGGTATGTCACGTAGATAGTTTTGATAATTAAGTTTAGAACCAAAGTTGTTCCTAAATAATTGAGTACGATTCAATGGTTTGCTCAACACGTAGAACACATGGTTGAGGATAAAAAATTCGGCAATCTGCAAACGAAATGTACAACTTTCTTATAAACGAACGAACAAAAAGTAATGAGAAAAATTCCAAATTTCTTTACTATGATATAACACACATGATTGAATACACATTACAGATAAAAGATTGTATTTTAATTCTACGCAAATAATCAACGATCAATTAAAAAAATTTTTCCAGAATAACACGCTGAATTATCTCCAATTTTGATCAAACTGATTTCCCAGTAGAAGAATCTCAAGAATTTCAATTGGTATTATGCGAGTCATACATGCGCGCATATCCGATTATTCTTTTACCAATGACGCCGAATATAATCAAGTCAATGCCTCTTAAATATAACATTGCGTCACTGATAGAGCCTAAACCTTCGATGGAGGTCTCAGTCAGCAGCCTTTAGCGACCCATCAAACCTGATGATGCGTAAATCGCACGCGCGGAGGGTCGACGTGTCGCAAGTGGAAATTGGAGGTAGGATGAATCATTCGTTTAGAGTATTTGCAACTGACGAAATGATTTCACGCCATTTGTCATATCGATGAAATACGATATTCGTATGTCCAATTTCTTTCATCTGTACATCCTTAATTGTTTTTATTCTTGCTTTTTCTCCTCTAGAGAAAAGTTACTCTTAATCTTGCCTTTTATGTTGCGGAGAAAGGACATTTTCATATCTCATTTAAATTTTCAACATTTCGTAACTATAAAATGTTCCGATACACATATTTGGATTTTATTTACGTAAAACTGCTTTAAAAGATCATTCACTCAGAGAAAAAGACATAATGATAGCAATTATATAAGTTTTATCAACTATTTTACTGCAACCATGAAATTATTTATTCGACTATGATAATAATAACATTAATTCACACATAAAACTTTTTTGTAGAAATTATCTTTAGTAAAACTAATTGCTATCTCTATAATTATCATCACTATATTTTTTTCTGAGTGTTGGGGAAGATTTTATCGTTTTGGCGAATTTATGATTTTTATAAAATTTATGGATATATATAATATATAAAAATTTTATTTAGATCTTTGCTTTCGTAAAGAAACTAATCTAATCCTATTCTAAACGATAAAATCTTCCCCAACACTCAGAGAAAAATATGATAAGTGATGAATTATAGAGATAGCAATTAGTTTTACTAATGGAATATTTAACATGATATGAGAATGAAGAAAAAAAATGATTTTGCATAATAAACGTGGCATATTAACAAAAATTGGAATTTATCTATAGGCTTTCTCGCGAAGATCGGTATTAGTTGGTTTGCAAGGTCGGCGTGATTGAGCCGATATGCTGTATGATACGGATTATTCTTCCCGCGTCATCAGTTAATTCATACCGAAATGACGACAGAATATACGCACGAGATAATGCGATCTTCCAGCTCCATATTTACTTCGATCCCAAATAATGTCAGAGGCAATAAATACAATAAATGCAACAGCAAGTAATCGGATGATGAATTGACAATAGATCTCTTTAAAAATAACAAATAAGAATAAGAATTGGCAGAACTTTTAAATCAAATTTAAATCGATGGAGTCTTTTCCGTATGGAAAAGACGGAGTCTTTCTCGGTAGCTCTGTGAGAGTAGAACTAGAACGAACAAAGAAATGAGGAAAAAGAAAAATGGAAGGTCAAGAAGATGCAATGTATTATATCTCAGAAGAAACAAGTATTGATAAAAGAAGAAGAAGAAGAAGAAGAAGAAAAAGAAGATCAAGTGATGCAGAAGAAGTGGGAGAACATGGACTACGTGCAGGCTTTCAGAATCAACGATACGAAACGTTACATTACACGCACATACACGCGACAATACTGTGCCAATGTGGGGTAAGTAGTTATCCAATTGACAGTGCCCCGTCTGACATAGTTCAGTCACGAGGCGGGCACAGGATGATCCTATATCTCCGTTAACGGAACGACAGTCGTTCTCTCGAAATTGCGCTCACCACGCGACGTTCCACACGCTCTTTTCTGCTCTTCTCCCGAAATCGTCGACTTTGACGACGGAATTTTCGCGTTACGGAATAAATAGACGAAGATATACCTATATATATGTATATATATATATAGATATATATATGTATGTATATATATATATATATATATAAGAGCCGGCAATATCGTGTATTGTGATATATGAAGATAATGTCAATAATACGAGCGTGTTTAGATCGAAGCGATTGGTGTTTCATTCACGATGAGAATGATCCCGGTCAAGGTTGACAATTGTCAGTGACAAAATTTCGAAGAATCCTTGCCGAATACGGTTGATTGTTCTACGAAGGAAAAGGAACACGAAGGAAGGGAGGAATAAACAAGAGCGACGAGATCCCAGCTTGTACATTCCTCGGAGCATCCCACGAAGATCGGGATGTCATCGGACTGATACCGGTATCATGGCAGCCGATCTCTATGCGAATGGCTCTTTAAAGTCAACGTCCGCCAGGTAAGATCAATCAGAAATCGATTACACTTACTTTTATTTTATCGATGAAGCATATATTTTAAATCAGATTGGTCTCAAAAGATAACTGACTGAACGCAATAATGAACGATCCTTAAATTTCTTTTAGAAATATTGGGATGCAATGGTAATGAGAAGCGGATACATTTAACGATAAATTAATAACTTTGAAATCTTTAAATATAGATACAGCTAAACTCGCCAATGGTACATTAATATTTATTTGTTGAAGGAAAGAATTTATAGACATTTTAATCGGTTTGAGCAAAGATGACGAAATCATTCGTGACAAATGATGTTTCGTATTCTCAGCATAAATGTGGCCATCCATTTTTGAATTTTATTTACCTATCAAGATGGCATTCAAATGTTAACGTGACACGAAAATCAGATAATCGCATTGAATAGGATCTCAATCCAATAGGATTCCAAGATTTATTTGGCTAAATTAGTAGATATACTATATTTAATATCACGGAAAATGAAAAATCGAATGGATAATTTTAGACATATATGAGAGGCTTATCGTAATATGTAGATAAATCGAGAGAGAGAGAGAGAGAGAGAGAGAGAGAGAGAGAGAAGGAAATAAGTACAATATCATAAATTTTAAAAGCATCTCTCTCTCTCTCTCTCTTTTCTTAATACAAAAGTTAATTTCTATTAATTTTATATTCAAATTATAATTTATTCGATACTCTACTTTTAAAATTGATAAAAATCAATAGAATTATATAGAATGTTTCTACAAAAAATATTAAAAATATATAAATAATTCAAAATAATACAGAGAGAGAGAGAAAGAGAGAGAGAGAGAGAGAGAGAGAGAGAAAGAGAGAGAGAGAGAGAGAAGAAAAATACGAAAAGTTAATTTTTATTAATTTTAATGAAAATTTGTTTTTATTATTAAAATCTCTATTTTTGATACTTTATTGCTAAAACTGAGTACTTGGCTGGTAAATCAATTTCGAATGTTTTTACAAGGGAAGCAGCACGTAAAATATGTAATTCGTACATTCTTTAGTATAGCCATGATTCTGCAATGTACACGTGATGACACCGTAATTTCGAGTAATGTATACGATGACGTATCTGATGATACACCGAATGCAGCTGTACAGCATTGAGTGACTGCTGATGCAGCGTTGTTTAGATTCCAAGATCATTTCCAAGCGTGTTTGATCTAATTTCATAAGCCGACGTATAAATGTGACCGCCAAATTGCCTCGTTTCCGGCGACTCGTTTAAAGTTTAAGGCGACTGTAAAAAAGACACATGGCGTTTACGAAGTGCGATGTTTACGAGGTACTTTTCAGAATGTGCCCGAAGGAAATAAAACGTTTCTTCTGATCACGACCATTTAAATTGTAAAAAAAATTCTCCCATAACGACGACGGCAATGCATCAATCTATACGTATGATTAAGCAATCGAACGTATGTTTGTTTCCGGATGAACACGACCGTTTTCGTTTTTTGCAAACCATTTCAATGACAATGAAATCGTTTAATAGCCGCTATGGCTCTTTGAGTTAATAAGCAATTGACCCTCGCGCGCGCGAGCTTGTAAAGGTTCCATTGATGAACAGCGTTATTAAGTGAACTCAAACGAGAGTGGAACTCAAAATCTCAACTCTTCGAAAATCCCAGCGCAATTATTTTTAATTATTATATACTTGCCGCAGGACTAATCCAATTAATCTTCCTAACATCTTTAAATGGACTGAACATGTCGTTGGTTTTTTAAAAAAAGAAATTAAATTTTGCTTCTTCGTAAGATATCTATGCAAAACGAATCCAAACAGAGAGAACAAGTCAAAGAGAACGACAACGATGTGACGTTGAAATTAATTGTAACTGATCGAAAAGTGACTTTTGATCATTATTTTCGAACTCTATTGATGTCATCTCAACACCAACTAAAAGTAATATAAATGTTATATTACATAATGTTATAAATGGTAAAATGTTATATTACAGTAATGTTACAAAAATAACATTAATGTTATAATTTTGTGCTCTACACTGTAACTGTAAAGGTGATCGATAACACTGATCAGTAATATGGAATCATTAATACTGACAGTATGTATCAATATTTTTAATATCTTTATAATCTTACATAAGAAAGCTTAAATTACAGATCAATATTTGAAGAATATAAATCCTTCTAAGAAACATGCGGTCATTTACCGTCCAATTCCGCTCGAACATGTAATTAATTGTTATCACTATACATATATTAAAGCACACAACATGTCTCTTTCAATGTAAATAGCAAATATTGAATTATGACATCAGAAACGAAAAATCACAATTTATTGTTGTATATATGAGGCATTCTCTGCCAAATTGAACACTCCCCTCTGTCTAAAATTCAGTTCATCCAAAAAAATTTCTTTCTGGGCTCAAATTGTAAGTACACATATCTACTACTTTCTTTAGTACTTTAGTCTTTTTGGAAATTCAATATGATGAGCGTAACATAATAGCTATAGTTGACGAAGTATTCAAAATTTCAAATTGATTAAATTAAAACTGTACATTATCATGGCAATCATTTTAGAAAATATTATTTCGAGAAAAATGCAGATTTATGCATTTTTCTCAAAAGTATCAGTCTCGACAGTATCAGTGCGTTTCTCAGATAGATGAAGTGAAAGGCAAGATTCACGAAACGTTGGCATTAACAATGAAGCACAACACAGCGATAACCTGCAAACCTTTTGACATCTCTGAATCTTTTCTTTCTTGGCTGACGTTTATGAAATTGGACGAAACCTTGGCCCATTTGAGTGATAATTTAAGCATTCTCAACTGGTTTCACTTCGTGAACAATAGCGTTCATGTTAAGCCCGTCGTATTGAATTTCTAAAAAGGCAAGAGTGTTAAAGAAAGTAGTAGATATGTATACTTACAATTTGAACCTAGAAAGAAATTTTTTGGCTAATAAATTTTAGACAGAGGGGCTGTTCAATTTGACAAAGAATGCCCCATATATATATATATATATATATATTAATATATCGAAATGTCTTTTAGTTGAGAGAATCGTCAAGAATTAAAAAAAAAAGGTAAAAACTCATGTATCTTCAAAATTTGTTAGATTCGCATTCCGTTTTACATGCCATATTGGGAAATTGTTGTCAAGGCTAAAATGATCTATATTATAGTCAACAAATTAAAACATAGCGATACTACAATAGTTACAATTCTGTCTAGTGACGGTGATCGGGTAGCTACTGCATTTGTTTATTCAATTGTACACGCGCTGACTAAGATCGATGCAAAGTCAATTCAATAAATCTACATGTCGCTGGAAATACGTAACAGTGACAGTCCATTAATTTGTATGAAGCGGCAAGTTATGTTGATGCGACTTTACAGAATGCACTAAAAACACATTGAAAAATGTTGTCGAGCAGATATCTAAAAATAATTTCTCAACGTGGTTTCTCAACGGCGAGCAAACGTGAAATATTCACTCGAAGATACCCGAAGATTCTCTCGTTAGACATGTTTAAAATCTAGAAAATGTGTGGAATCTGCGAAAGAAGAGGAAGCAATTAAAAAGAAAGATGAAAACATATAGAAGTCCCTCTTCGGTGAGTTCCACAAAATTTGAAATTATTTAGAGAGAAGATAATTCCATATTAATCATTACAATTATTACGATCAAAATGGGATAAAATACATTTAATTTGTTTCTTCCCTGAACAAGATACCAACGTTAGAGAAAATTGTCGAGATGGAGGAAAACGTTAAATGCAAAAATGAATAAAGTAGATTGACAGAGCGCTCGCGTTCGCGTGACGCGATATGAGGCGGAGGAAATGATGGAAACTTGAAGAGTGTATCGTGGCCACGCGTAAACTGAACGTAGGCAGCAGATGACGCGTTCGTTGGTCCGAATTAATTAAATTAAAATCGCAATTCTAGCCCGGCTGCGAGTTAAACTTTTAACTCAAATATTAGAAGAATTCCGTTATCGGAGAGATAATGAATGAATGAAGGATGAATAATTATCCATCTTCTCGCCAGATTTATTTAAAAAATTTATAGGCTGTATATGTACTCTACATACACTACATACACTATAATTTGAACGGAAGAAACTAACTTCTTGTAACTCATCCCTATACATCGAATAATAAAAATAAAGAATCCAGAAGGGAATTGAAAATAAATTAATATTATATGAAAAACGGCTCAAATGAATAACAATTCAATTAAAAATATGTAATTTAAAAGGGCTGTCCGAGCCTAGCAAGTTGACGTGCGCTAATATTTTAAGAGTGATTAGTCATAGTGTAAGTAGAACTTACGCACAGATGATTTATATGTCATTGACATATCGCTATATCAATATCTCATTCACACATGCCATACATATGCATAAATTTTCATAGGACAATAACATTTTAATTAGACGTCCAAGTTCAATTCTAAGAATTCCATGTTGTTTCTTCATGCAAACTACTGTTATATCTGACTATTATTCTGTAAGTACAAATTGCACAGCTTTTGTACGAAGTAAATGTTGTCGCGATGTGACAGCTCTAGAGCGCTATGGATCAAGAAATGGAAATCAATTAAAAAATTTTTTTGACGATATAAATTCTTCTTGGCTTGGTATAAATTCCACCTCACAGACACGTATTAATATGCATATTCTGGAAAAGGATTTTCCAATCTGTAAAAGAGAAGAAAAGTGATTGTTACAAAAATAGCCTAAATATTACTATCAACTAGTATTATCGACTAAATATAACATTAACCCTTACTCTTAATACATGCCTTAGTTTTTGGTACCCTTACTACACAAGATGTGTACTGGATTAATTTTCATCACTTTTATAAGTATATAAAAATTATTAAGCAATTTTTACGTGTATTTTGACATCTTTAGAAAGTTGTACATTTATAATAAATTTATATTGCATACAAATTTATATATACAATTGTTGTATATAAATCCAAGAAA